GATTCTGCTTTTTTGACAAACATTAGCTTTGTTATTTTACCGCCTTATTTACAGCAGTATATAATCATCACATAAGACTTTTTGACACCATAAAATACAGAACATTTTGGTTATTCTGTTAGTCTGAACAAACCTGGAATTCATGACTACTTGGATGATTGATTTCCATAATTTCTTTTTGGCTTCAGGCGAATTGCTGCCACCATATTTCCGACTTTCAAGAGGCACTCCATCTGAGTCTCCGCTTACTCAGCCCCCTTCTTCAACTGATCGCGACGAGCGCAGTAACGGTGATGAAGAGGACGAGGAAGAGGAAGAGGCAGAAGGAGAGATTAAAGAGGAGGAGGACGAAGGCGATGAAGAAGAAGAGGAACTAGAAAGCAAAGAAGGTGACTCCCCGGAAGATAACGAAGGGAACCTAGATTGTGTGAGAACAAGGGATTTTGATAGCAAAAGATGGGAAATTGAGACACAGAATGTAACGGAAGGACAGGAAGAAGAAGAGCGAGTGTACGGAGAGGCAGGCGAGGACGACACCGATGAAGCCTTGACTGGGCAGACTCAACATCAAGACGCCAATTTAGAGTCTGTTCTGATCCACAATGGACTCATTATTGATGGTCAAAGCAAAGGAAGCCAACCCATCTCTCTCTCCCAGTTTCGGCTGCGTGAACATCGATCCAGCTCACACCGGTCTAGCCGTCAAAGACGCTTTACAACAGAGGCTTCCAAATCAACCACTCTGCCATCATCTGGGCGTGATCATATGCTTGAAGTTTTTATCCCCACAGAATCAAATTCCCCGGCTAGTAATTCACCCAATTCAGGCCACATGAGCGTAGATAATAGTGGGGAATTTATCATACTTGAAGCTTCTCAACCTTCCTGTCTGCTGTCGACCACAGTCTTGCCACACCCCGTTAAGGTCGACATGGTCACATTTATTGACCGCAAGTCACCTGGCCCTCAACACCGATTGAGGTCTGGCGAGCAGGCGACATTACAGACTGTTAAGCAGATGGCTAAAGATAACCTTGGTCAAGCTCAACTCGGTTTATCAATTGAAAATGGCTGCTCTGCCCAGAAAGATCACAGCCGAGCATGGGAGAGGTCTTGCTTGATCGTGAATGAAAACTATGGACCGGAAAAAGACTCATCAGGAAAAAGCGATAAAATGGAGGTGGCTGGGAAATCAAAGGATAAATTTGATATGAAGCAAGGTCTTTCAGAGGAATATAAAGAGGAGGACGATAAGTTGACTCAGGTTGGGGATGAAATAAACGGAAAAGAGATGGATGTTTTTATGAAACACTCCTCTACTTCCTCTTCAAAGAAACGCGCTGCAGTACCTCTTCAGATGGTCAACGGTTTTAAACGAGCCCATAAGAACTCACCCACTCGCATGGAAGAAGATCATGCAGCCTCTTCCCGGATTTCTGCCTCTCTGTCAGACAATGGGCCTACGGGCTCCTTTCCAGACTTTTCTACTGGATCCTTGGGCACTAGACCCCTTCAATCTGATGGCCTCCTTGTGAAGCCCGGAACCTCTGGTTACGTCGAGACATCCAGTTTTAGATCGGCTGCGCCAGCCAACTGGGCACCGGTCACTAACTCTAACAATGCAGCTGCTACCGCCGCCGCTGTTGCTGCGGGTTTCCTGCCAGCTGCTTTGGCAGCCGCTCTGGCAATGCTGGCCAATAGCGGTCTTTCTGTGGAGCAGATGACGGAAGCAGGACTGCTATTAAACTCGACGGCTTTGGCAGCTGCGCCCGGAATGGGTGGATTGGCACCACCGAACCTACTTGGAACGCGCGATACATCTGTAGCAGAAATTACTCCTGCATTATCTTCATTTTCCTCTTCGTCCTCATCCTCATCTTCCTGTTCTTCTGCCTCATCCTCATCTTATCCTTCTTCTTCCTCCTCTTCTTCCTCTTCCTCTTCTTCAAACTGTCCTGTCTCCTCCACTTCCACTTTTCCTCCTACCGCGAATGAGCTTTCAAGCACCAATTCCTTTATACAATCGCGTATTTCCCCATCAGTTTCTCTGGTCACCAACCAGCCCATATCTCCCTCCCTCCCTTGTGGCCAGGAAACCTCTGCTCTGCTTCATACCTTTCATCCTGGCCTTCATACATATACTCCTTCTGCTCCTACTCCTCTTCTCTCCTCACTTACTGAAGCAACTGATTCCATTGTTGCCAAGGCAGATGCCATAACACCACCCCCATCCTTTTCCGCTCCACCCTCCATCTCCTTTGCCTCCTCTTTCACTCCCTCTTCTTCGTCCCCCTCCTTTTCCTCTTCTAATTCTTCCTCCTTTGCTCTCTCGTCTACATCCTCATCTTCCTCTTGTCCGCTAACTTTATACACTTCCTCTCATAGCCTGGCCCCAAACCACCGTGGTCTTCATCAACTTGCCCTGCATAGACCGTTGTTTGAGTGGCTTGAAAACCACCATGTGAAGGAAGAAGAGCAACCTCTCGATCTGTCGCTCTCAGACCGTCTGAAAGCTCGCATAGCAGAACAGGATAATGTACGAGAAGGAGTCTCTGCAAATGCCTTGGTGTCTGTAGCTGCCCCTGAATTTTGTAAAGGCCAAGTCGAGAGTCTTGCCGAGAGCTTGCCACATTTATCCACTGTGGAGGCAGAGGCTTTACCATCGCCCGACAACAGCTATGCGGTGGCCGCGGCAGCTGCAGCTGCAATGGCAGTAGCCACAGCAGCCGCAGCTGGAAACGGAGACTCATCTGATTTCGCTGCTGAAAGTTATTCATTCGACCACAAGCTATATTTAGAGGTGAACTGGTTGTCCTGGTTTTGCTTGTTAGGAACTGCTAAATGGGCCTTTAAAAATGAACGAGGGAGAAAGCTTGCTTTTTCTTTGACTTTCATTGTGGCTTCTGTGCAAAAAATTAATAATTTTCTCCTCAAATGATCAGCATCCAAATAAGTGTACAACTCAAAAATTATTGTTTAAGGAGGACTAACATTCTCACAAATCACTTAGCAATAAAATTTAATAAAAGTGGTCTTGAGATAGCTAGCATGGGCTATAAAAATAACAAATTGGGGTTTGTATAATACAGAAAGTAGATGAATATTGCCTCCTTAAAAATTCATATTTGATCAGCGAGTTTATCTATCAATGGAAAGTACATTCATTAGTCTTTAGAATACTATTTAAAGTCATAGGTATGCATTTTGCCATCATATCGATACAAAGCAATGTGATTCTTAAGGATTGGTGATTACAAATTACTATAGTGAGCCTTTAATTCCTTATGCATTTATTCTGAGTAGATATGCTATTCCCTGAATAGGTGGATTTGTTTTTACGACAAAATTTACTTCTTATTTAGTGTCATCTTTAAAATTGTTCCTCTATCTTTAGGCGCTTCGCCTTGCTGCTGGGTTACAAAATCAAAACTCTGCTTCTATAAAGAGGGTAAATTGTTTATACAATCTTTTTCATCTTACAACTTTGCATAATTAGTCTTCACTCAATTTCTTTTAATTTTCAGCCATTAAAACAACCCTCACTTGAGGTCTCCTCACCATGTATGTTTATGTACTTTTGATTAAAATTCGGAATTTATCGTGTTTGGTTGCTGTTTAATTTTTAAGTATGCCTTATTTTTACCAATTCCTTGCTTACTTTTAAGCAGTCAAATAAATACTTGTTTGTGTCAGGAGTTTATCCATATAGCATTCAAAAACACCTAGTTCATCCTCATGCTAATATAGTGAGGATTCAGTAAACATTTTATTTATGGTCTGGAGTTTAGTAAGATTCTCATGGTCCTAAATGAGCAAATGCAGTAAAGAGAAAAATTCATCAGCTAGCAACTCTTCATGCTACGGGATCAGAATTTGTAGGCATATAGATTTAATTGTTGCTTCAGAAGGGGATTTTCTTAATCGGTCATTCATATTTGTGAACACTAGAATGATTTTTGGGCTTTTATAATAAGCTAGGGCATAATACCCTGTAAAGTCAAGAAGTCAAGGCAACAGATACGAATTTTTGTTGGGAGCTTCTACTTGGCAAATCACTAGTTCTTATCAGTGTATGTGAGGAATTTTTCCCAAGGCATTTTAAAGATAAATCTTGCAATAATCTCAGGGGTTCAAGCTATCAATATAAAATAAATGTGATGAGAATTCTTTTTGAGCATAAGTGAAAAGAAACTCAATCGCGAGCGAAAAGAAAATAAGTCACGGAAATACCATGATAAAATCGGATGCCAGCAACTAACTATAAAGGACAATTATATCAGCTCTAACAAAATCTTTAATTTGACTTTAGTCGATCTTTGGTACATAAAAACATGATTTATTTCTTCGCATAAGCAACCTTAAGTACTTTTAAATCTGACATTTTTATTTTTTGCTTCCAGCGAATTCAAAAAAGATCACCGAGGAAGCCTCTGTACGACAGCCAATGAAGGGCAGCCCACAGAAAGGTTGGCATCTTTCATTAAAATATACATTTTTATCACTAAACTTTCTGATGTTTATGGGGCGTCATTACTTGTAAGTTTATTAAGCTCAGGTGCCACTCCTTAGTTTTCAAAGCACCAGTAATCCTATTCTAGCCAAATTAAAGTGAAATTTGCACTACATAAACTCTAAAACCAGCTTAAACTAGAATACACATGCACTTAAAATCTCATTTTATGTTAATTGTCAGAAGGCACATTCCCAAATGCTAATAAATTTATGATATCTAACTTATGCGAGAAGAAAGTTAACTTAAACTGCTTGAGCTTTTATAAATAAGGCAAAAAATGCTCATTTTGAGAATTGACTAAAAAACTATCGATTTATCCTGGGGGAAAACATATGCAAAACTCTTGCTTTCCTTTACTATAAACTATTTAATCACACAAATATATTTTTTATAAATACTTACAAATAAATGATTTCTGGGTTTTTTTTTACAGTAATAGATATACAAAATTTTGTTTATTACAAGGCCTACTTACTGTAGTGCGCCTAATTAAATTGACGAATAAAGAGGGGGGCATGCAATTTTAATTAGACACTTTCCTTGATTTATCAGCTCTTCTATATAATTTACTTTATAAGACTTTTATTATATTAGGCTATTTTATTATATGAATATATGTCAAAATATTTAACTTTCATGTATTTGTGAGTCAGTCTATATCAGGTATGCTGTTTTTTTCTAAGGCTAATTATTAAAATAGTCACATTTTCACGGGATAAAACTGCATTCAAATATTATTTTTCG